ATTGTGAAAAAATTTATTCAAATAACTTAAACAATCAATTGAATAAGGAAAACTAATTGTAAACGAAATACTTAAAAAAATAAAAAATTAATTTTCTTTGGAGTAAAATGATCGTATATTAAAACAAAACCTAAAACCATTTACATATGAATTAATTAAAAATAATTCTATTAAATATAATGATGAATTTTATGCAATTTCTTATAATAAAGATTGTTAAATTGTAGCACTTAGTTGTGATAAATAAATAAAAATATATGAATTTAAGTAAGAAATGTTGAAATTACTACAAGTCTTAAATGAACATTCAGAATCCATATACACTCTATATTTCATGAAAAAATCAAATGAATTGATATCTGGAGATGGTGATGGATCTATTATAATTTGGTCAAGCAATAATAATTAATGGAATTGCTCATAAACTATTAAAGCACATAATAAAGCTATTCGATGTTTGATTATGAATAATAATAAAGATATTTTTATATCTTGTAGTAGTGATAATACTATTAAATTTTGGGATAAATAAAAGGAATGGATCTGTTAATAAACTATCACCGATTATACTAGTCCTGTTTATTAATTAAGTTTAAATGATTAATAAAATAAAGTTATTTCTTGTGGAATGGATGAAAAAATATTGATAATTGAATACTCTGAATACAACAAAAAGTGAATTGTAATTTAAAATATTAAAGTTGAATGTTATGGATAACGAATATGCTTTATCAACAATAATTAATTCATATTTCAACCATTTAAAGGCAATTAAATGCATGTCTATGAAATGAATAGTGTAAATCAATAGTTTACTAAAACAAAAGATATTATTGTAAATGGATGTAAAATTAATTAAGGTGGATTATTTCATAATAGTTTATTATTTATTAAATCAAAATAATTATTAGTTAATAAGCATGGTAATTGTGTCAATTTAATCAGAAAGACATAAAATGAGGAATTTAAAGTTGAATAATCTCAAGTTTTCATCTTAATTTCTACAAAAATGTGGAGACAATTTTTACAAAAAGTACATCTTCTCTTTTTACAATACCCCCCTCTTTGGTTTTTTTTAATAAAATATTTTTATGACCTCTATTTTCTTCCTGAGAAGTGACAACCTATATCTAAAGGGTCATACCAAGTTTGAAAGCAAAAATGGGCTCTCCAAAAAGTTTCCTTTTGCTTTTTTTTTTTCTAAATAATTGAACCATTATTTAGTATTGGGAACCTATTCATGAGGGATCATACTACTCATGAATACAAAATCTTGAACAATCTCATCAACCTGTATCTAATTAAAGTTTGAATCCTCTCATAAAAACAATAAGTATAATAATTTTATTTATGGCAACTCTTAATGAAAAATAATAATTAAAAGGACATTGCAAACATATTCCATTCTTAAAGTAGCGAAATGAAAAATTACAACTATTTGTTCTGCAAATTGAGGGAAAACAAGAAAAATAAATGATATATAATTGAACTCAAATTTAGTATTTATTCGATTTCAAATAAAATAAAAATATTCTATATTATTAAAAAATCAACTAATGCAGTAGTTGAAATGAATTCTCAATAGCATCATTAACATCTACTAAAATCAATTCCAAATCTACACAAAGTCCTAACTTCTATTTTACAGAAATGCACTAGATACTTTTATCGATTTTGCAGTATATAAATTAAAGTTAGAGTAATAGAAATTCATTATTAAAAATAAAAAAGAAAATGCAAGGCTCTTTTTAAGTGTAGGAAGCTCTAGCTGACATCTTTGATTAAGTTAAAGATGTGGATGAATAAATATTTAATGCTATATTAGTAATATTAAGAAAGGAAAAAGTTTAAGATTGTATTGGATATCTTTCTGGTAATATAATTCAAATATTTTTAGAATCTTAAATTTTAAAACAAGTAGAGAATATCACACAAACTGATATTGAATAAATATTACAAATGACATGTAACAAATAAAGATGTATTAAGAAATTTAAAAGATCATGACTTCAATTACAAAGACTTTTCCTCTGGAGAAAATAAAGAATCTAAACTAAATTTAATTTAAAGCATCAAGGATACTATATAATTTCTGGAATTTTTAGTTCACCTCACATCTATAGATAACACTTTAATATAATGTGGGTCAAATTAATTACATATATTGGTTTAGATGAAAGCTGACCTTAAAAACAAAAATTTTGAAAACATTAAGATTTAAAATACTTCTTTGATGGGAAGTAATTTTGTTAGATGCGCAATAAGTGCATTAATTTGTGGAGCTGCGTTACCTATAGGAAAAACTTTTATAACTAGAGGAATTTCAGATATGGTCTATTCTGTCAAAGCAGCTTGGAAAGGATTAGAAATTAATTGGGGAGCTTGGGGAAAAACAAAATGATTAATATTGCATCAGCAGTAGTCTTAGCAGATCTTTTGGAATTAAGGAAGCTCTCCAAATAGGAGGCTAAGCCTTTAAATCAATACAGTAAATTGATATTACTGAATTTTTGAGATAAATTCCAACTGTTACAGCGGATGGATTGGAAAAAACAGGTTTTTGGTTAAGTGATTCAGATATAGTAAAAATCTAAAATTAATATTAAACTTTGTAAATGACATAAGAAACTTTTTTAAAAACATAGAATAATAATATTAAATTTAGCAACAGAAGTTTTAGGAGATTAAGTTAGAAATGGAGCTATTTCTGAAAGTACATCGTGTAATCTGTACGATTTAATTAATTAATGTTTTTAATAATCTAAAGAGACAATTAATGTTTTCATAATAGTTTTTGTGAATTAGCAAAAAAATATTTAAGATTATAGATAGCTAAAAATAATAGTAACAAATCAGAAAAGAATTTAAAAAAAGAAGTTGAAGAAATTTGTTCTATGCAGGGAAATAAAAAATTTAATAGGTTATAAAGCAAAATTCATGAATATTAATAATATGAAAATTAACTAAATGATGAAATTTAGTAATTTTCAAAAATTTTAACAATAATTTATTTGAAAGACTTTGAACTTTAAAAAAATAGTAACACTAGCTCTGTATTTAGAAAAATGCTGCAATCGTTAGGAAGTGGAGAAAGAGATTAACAATACCAATATTTAAAAATATTGAAATCTATTTTAGTATGATGATTGAGATTATGAAATAAGCTATGAAAAAAGCACTCTTTCAAATTTTAAATAAAATTGTTAGGAAAAACAGTTTGTAAAAGCTTTAATTCAAGCTGTAGAAATAGAAGTAATTGATAAAATATAAAAATAAATCTTTAAGTCAAGAATAAAGAAATAAGATAAATTATAAATAAGTCAATATGAATTAATAATCAATATCCAATAAAATCATAATAACCATAAGTTCTTAATCAATTTATAGAAATTTATTTAATTATTAGAAATTTCAAATTGAATCTAAGTTTTTTTTTTATNCAATAAAATAAATTGGCATTACTGAATTTTTGAAATAAATCCCAACTGTAACAGTGGATGGATTAAAAAAAGCAGGTTTTTGGTTAAGTGATTTAGATAAAGTAAATATCTAAAATTAGTATCAAACTTTATAAATGATATAATAAACTGCTTTATAAACATAGAATAATAATCAAATATTAAATTTAGCAACCGAAGTTTTAGGAGATTAAGTCAGAAATGGAGCTATATCTGAAAGTACAGCATCTAATCTGTACGATTTAGTTAATTAATGTTTTTAATAATCTAAAGGAACAGTTAATGGTTTTCGAAATAGTTTTTGCGAATTAGCAAAAAAATATTTAAGATTATAGATAGCTAAAAGTAAAAGTAGCAAATCAGAAAAAAATTTAAAAAAAGAAGTAGAAGAAATTTGCTAGACTCAAGGAAATAAAAAATTTGATGGAATACAAAGCAAAATTCATTAATATTAATAAAATGAAAAATATCTAAATAATGAAATTTAGAAATTTTCAGAAATTTTCAAAATAATTTATTTGAAAGACAATGAACTTTTAAAAAAAAATAGTAAAATTAGATTTGTATTTTGAAAAATTTTGCAATCCCAAGTAAGTGGAGAAAGAGATTAACAATACCAATATTTAAAAATATTTAAATTCAACCTTCGATATAAATGATAAAGATATTTAGGATGAATGTAATAATGTAAAAATATCAGATTAATAATCAATGAATAAATGTTATTAGAAAGTAATCAGACCAAAAATCATGGAAATATGCATGGATGTATACAATAAATTAGGAGAATAATGCAATATTTTTATAGATTGCGAATTCATGGAACCAATAGAAATAATTTTTGAGAACTAGTACAATGACCATTTGAACAGTCATATAAAGAAATTTAAGTCACAAACAAGCGAATACTAAATGCAGAATGCGAGTCAATATTAAATACAATAAATTTAATAATAATGCGAAGAGTTATAATAAATAACTAATTTTGAACCAAAATTATTGGTGAAAAATGCTATTGACTATATGAAAAATTAATAAATGATTAATAATGATGGAATCACCGTTTCAAATCAATTTATGAATAAGTTTAATAATTACTTGAACCAATAAAATTATTTTAGTATGATGATTGAGATTATGAAATAAGCTATGAAAAAAGCACTCTTTCAAATTTTAAATAAAATTGTTAGGAAAAACAGTTTGTAAAAGCTTTAATTCAAGCTGTAGAAATAGAAATAATTGATAAAATATAAAAATAAATCTTTAAGTCAAGAATAAAGAAATAAGATAAATTATAAATAAGTCAATATGAATTAATAATCAATATCCAATAAAATCATAATAACCATAAGTTCTTAATCAATTTATAGAAATTTATTTAATTATTAGAAATTTCAAATTGAATCTAAGTTATTTTTTTTAAATCATCTTATTCTTATTTATCAAAATTATCAGACCTACATTTATTTTTTTAATATTAATAATTATAGAAATTATAAATCATCAAAGAAATCAATTTTAGAAACAAATTCACAAAAACAATATAAGATTGATCAATTTATTTTGTGAATCCAAAATTCTACTCTAATAATGGAAATAACTTTTTTAAGCTTTTGTAAATATATTCTAATTTAGAATCTTTCTAATTTGCAAGAAAGTTTTTAGTATTTCTTCTAATCTATTTTAGTAGCCTTATTTCAAACATTATTACAAATATTATTTATTTTTCTAATTAGATGCAGAAATCAAGCAGTTTGAACTTCAATATCAGTTTTCTTTGATGCTCTGTTGTTTGATAATAGATGGTTCGAAACAAACCTTCTACAAACATTTATTATTATTCAACTAAGTTCAACCTGTCCACATCCATTAAAGTGTTATGAAGTTCATCAAATCTCATAAACTTATTTGGTAAGTACCATACTACAGAGTGTATTATACTTTTTATATTATTAAATATTCATAGATATCACTCAGTCTATAAAGTTTTTAATTTCATTCTATCATGGAGCTGCATTTGATTATACGAGTGAACTCCTCCTAAACGTTTCAACTTCCTTTATACTTAAATTTAATTTTTTCAATGTTGCTATTTTAAAATTATTAGAATCCTTTTTTCATTCCTTTCTCAAGCATCAATCATTTTTAATCATCCGGTATCATAATTATTTTTTCAATATTTCCACCCCTATATAACTGTTTCTACATTCATCTTTCAAGGATATGTCTGTTAGCCTATCCTTTTGAAATTATTTTCTACAGAAGAGAAGATCTTGTAATATCTATTGATATAGCCTCTTCTTTAAGAGTAATTTGGCCATCTTACCATAACTCCTAATTGTAAAGGTAACTCAAAAATCTCAATAATATCTTACTTCAGATTAGGTTGGTGCTGTCTTTACCCTAAAGATTTCTTAAATATTAAACCACTTTTTTCAAAATACATAAAAAAAATTATAATTAATAATCATAAATATATATTTATAAACTGTTTCATTCAATTTTTCTGGATTGACAAAATGTTTGAATATAAATATTTAGTTGTGAGTAAATTACTATCTAATTTAGTTATCTGTTATTCTATTTTAAAGTACCATAAACGATAGAATAATAGATTTTAATTTAGTACTACTATCACAAGACAATAAAAATCTAAATTAAATGGACACAATAGTTATGTTTATTCAGTATACTACTCTATTCTAAGTATCCCATTATTGAGAAGCATACTGAATAAATTCAGCTATTATGACTATTTAATTGAGATTTTTATTATTAGGATAGATTTATTTACATCACAATAAATAAGTGAAAAGCACAATGACCATCCAATTTATTCAATTCTTGGATTTTAAGGTTTATCCATTTATAACTGAACATCTAAGCATCATTCAGAACTATTCCACTTATATTGACATTATTAAATTAGGATTCACTAAAATACACCTAACAAAATTAGTTCCTTCTAAAAAAGTATTTTAGATCTTAATTTTTTCAAAGTTTTTGTTTCTAAGGTCCACTTTCATCTAAACTAATAAAGGTAATGAATTAGACACATATTGAATTGAAGTGTCATCAATGTATGTGAAGTAAACTTTAAATTACAAAATTCGATGATAAATTTGAACTCCTTTATGGTTTTTATTAGATCTTTTTGTTCTCCGATAGACATCCTATACTTTCTTAAGCTTTCTTCTTTTAAAAGATTCAATTAAAACATCATCATCTACATCCCTTAACTTGAGCAAATTCTCAATTAGATCTACTTCTTGATCTAATCAATTTCTTTTGTTATTTTTAATATTGAAATCTCTTACTCTCACTTTAAATTTTATGCTACAAATAAATTTACGTATCTTCTGTAATTTTTTGTAATGTAGAAGTATAAACTATTGGTAGATTTGGAGTTAAATGGAATTGATGTAAAAAATGTTAGAGATGATTTAATTCTCCATGTTCATTACTTGATTCTTTAAGAATATAGAATAACTAATTTTAATATGAATCATGTTAATTATAATAATTTAATTTGAATTCTTCTATTTTTTTTTATCATTAATATAGGCATTTGGATTTGTGAATTTTTATCTCAATATTAAGAGATAGGAATTTGTCTGAAGAACAGCTTAACATGACTAGATATTTTTAATAATGCATATTGAATTTGCAGTTGCGAGGAAACTATGATATTTTATAGTTATAAATCGAGATATTTTTCAAGAATGCACTTAAATATTAATTCATGTAATAACTTTAGAAAGCAAATGATCGTGTTAAAAAATGTTAATTTTTAACAATATTCTTTTTAAATATTTTTATTTTCTTATTGATTATAAGGCTTGAGTAATCAAATCAAAAAGAAAGGAGAATGTACAAAAAAAGTAGATCCTCTCTAATTAGGATAATTTAATATTAATTGTATGTTAAAGTAAAAAGATCACCAGAAACCTACTCTCCATTCTTTCCTTCTCTTTTGGAGTTGTTTGTACCATCTATTACTCCACCATAAGTATGTAACTT